AGATGAGGGATTTGAGTTGGTTGCAATCTTCACCGCCAGATGCCACTAAATCCTACACACTGGTCCTTCAATTGGTTAATGGGCCACTTTGGTCAATTAAGTGTCCGGAACCATAACACATGCCTATTACAAGTTGCTGCCTAATTAAACAATAAAAAGTTGAGTTTTGATCATCTCATGGTATTGCTATTTTTGCTTAGTCATGGCTGAGAACAAATCCAGCGCAAAACTCAGCTTTAAGTCAGTTTCTGCTGTGAGGTATATCAAAAGAGACAGATAGATAGAGTCGGTAGAGTTAAATGATTCCCCAACACAGTCTAGTTCACAGGAAACTGATCCCAGCAGCTATCTAAGAGTTTTGATTCTCTTATACTGGTAGGAAATAAGTTACCACTTCTATTTCGCCTTGCACAATATTAACTTCTTCTAACTCTACACGTGCAATTGACTAAACAAGCCCACAGAAAGAAAAACTAATTTTGTCTGAAACTTGATGTGGTTCAAGTAAAAATAATTAAGAATTACATCTGAAGGAAACTTCTACTTTATGGAACTACTACTTGTCTTAGCACAGGTTTGACTCATGATCTTCAGTGCAGATCTTATCTTGGGTGATTATAACTTCCACCTTCTTTGTTATGCAAACATGCTTTGCAGGCTTTGTATATGACTTTGCCATAGGCTGCAATCAATACTATGCCTACAGACCGTGCATAGTACAAAAACAAATTATCAGATCAAGTCATCAAACCATAGAGAATCCACCTGTCCTTGAGGTTGCAACAATTTGCATAAAATCCATTTGTCTTTGTGGAAGAGATTCTCATTTTAAAGGTAATCTTGTGAATGATTCAGATTAAGATAAAAGGTATATCAGACACTTTGATTGAAAATGCATAGCAAGCTATATAGACAGTTTACTTTGTGAGGTTTGGCGTTCATTGTTAGGCGCATTGATCTAACATTGGATCAGTGACCAGTTATTCAATGGGGAAGGTCAGTTTGTTCTTTGATGTCTGGAAGATTTATGCCAGCATCTGTTGACAGAAATGATGCTTTGACTTCAAAGTTGTCAGCATCCGTTTAACCATGAGAATAAGGAGGCTTTTTTGCTGCAATCTGAATCTAATAACAAACTAAAAGGAGTTGCCTTCACTGTTAAATTTGTGTCAGTGATGGATCCGTGTGGTTGCACTCGCAGCCTGGAGACTGTAAATTTGTGAAATCTACCTAAATATTTTATGTTAAGCTGTGGTTGGCGTGAGAAAGTTCAAGTTGCACTGGTGTGTGTTTCTCTAGTTAGACATTTGGACAGTCTGTTCTTGGCTGGTGCTGTTTGTATCTTGTGGCTAAGCGATGACACAATCTGGTCAGACCTTGGGTGTAGGTGTAGCTGACTAGTAACTCAAGCCTGATAATCCGGTGCTGCGCTCTGAGGGAAAGTCAGCTAAACTTTCTGAGAGCTTGTCTTTTACGTAGCCTACGGGTCCCCACCGGAGAAAGCGAGGTGAGAAACAGCAGTCTCACATCACCTCAACATAGAGCGTTTGTTTCAGATAACAGAGTTAGAACAGGAGAGGAAGAGAATTAGATAACAGTTAAAGAGAAAAAGGAGCGAGAAACCAGGGAGGCAGGCAAGGCATGCATGCAAGTGTGTAACTGAGAGATTAGGCCTGCTTGTTATGGATAAGGGAAGGCATTGGGACAGGGAATCAGTAGTGGGGAGAGATGAGGAAAGACTGCAAAGCATGCCACGTTAGATGGGTACAGTAGGAGATCTGCAAAGGATCAGTCAGGAGTAAGAGAAAGAGGGAGGGAGCCTTATGGTAGTGAGGGAGAAGCCAAAAGAGCTTAGTTAAGGAGCTTAGTTGAGGTAGGTTAGCTCTGAAGATGGACTGTATCAAGAAAGAAGGGAAAGGGGGCCAGTGACCAGCGTTAAATCCATCTACTGTAACATTAGCATTCCTCCCAGCTCCACCCTCCCTCCACCCCTCAATCCCTCTCTGTCCCTCTGGTTGTGTGTCTTTCATTCCCCCCATCTAGGCATTTTCCAGGTATACTCCGTGCTCGTCCAATCTCACACCGTACTACCCTTTGATTGGCTCAGGAGTGTGGTCAATGTGACAGTGTAACGGCGCATTTACAGGATACAGAAGTCAAACACAGCACTTTTGGAAACAAGCGCCTCTTTTTTTCCACTTTTTTTTTTTTTTTACTTGAAATGATGGGATTGATAAGTAAACATGAAAACGTGCATGCTGTTTCAATGTTTACCAGAGGAGGGGACAAAGGGGGATGAGGACATTCAGTTCATGGGTGTTTAAATGAAAACTGGAGACACAGCATTCAGCACAGATCATACTTCTTATTCCAGAGTGTCTCAATTAAGAACAAAGTGCTCTGCAACAATGGAAAGCAATGCCCTCATTTACCTGCCTATCTTTTAACTGCGTAACACTATATAACATATAGTTGGCAAGCAAAATTATGCTGTGCTAGGTAGTAACACACACATCCAGACCAAAATGACAATACCTAGTACACACAATGACTTGACATTTGTCCTCTCTTTGCATACTCAGACCTTATTTTGGCTACAGGGGACAAACTGTCTTCACCTCTAGATCAAAATCTTTGGGGTAGGAGCAACAAAAGTCTGTGGAAAACCATTACCACACTTTTCAATTAATTTTGTGAAGGGAGACACATAATGGGATGGTAATGTGTGAACAGAAAGGCTTTTGCTCTTCAACAAATCTTTGGAGTTGCGACTAAAAAGACTTTTTGTGCAATATGGATCTATAACAATTGCATAAGCAGAGGGAGAGAAAAATTATAAAAGGCAAATTGCCCTCTGGCAGATTCGTGAAGGTGACTTGAAGGAGCTGTTCCATTTTAGCACAAATTTCCTCCTCCTCCTCCTCCTCCTCCTCCTCCTCCTCCTCCTCCTCCTCCTCCTCCACCTCCTCCTTCTCCTCCAGCCCCTACCGGCCTAACACACAATAGTTAGCAAAGAGACGCTTGCTTCAAAGTGCTGCTCACACAGTTGGTTTCTGCTGTGCTCCTATAGCCACTAAAAGCCTGTTTTCTTAGCAGAAGGATGGTGCCACTTTCATGCCAACTAGAGGGCCTACCTAATCCTCCTTTGCAATAATGAGTTTGGAAAGGATGATTGGTCAATTGTTTTAGAGGGGCTGCCCCTTCTCCCCACCACCACCCCACCCTCCAACCCCGCTCAGGGCAGCAGTGGCGCCAGCTCGGTGCAAAATGATAAGTTGTTTTTTTCCACGGCTAGAGAACGAGGACTCACATGGTATCCCTATGGAGCAGCATAGTGGGGAAATAGAAAGTACAACAAAACATTATACAAACACACACACATGCACGCACACACACCTACATGTGCATGCTTGCACCATCCGTAGAAACACACATATACATACGTACACAAATCCATCCATCTCACATGTTATTCTCAAACTGAAACCAAAGGACTATCAGCATGCATCGCTCATGGAACGTGTGTACGATAAAATCATGACTCTGTTAGAGATATTGTGCAGATTTCCAAATTGACCCCAGGATACTGAAAGATAGACTGGTTATCTTGTCAGCTGGTTTGCTTTTAAATACACGTTTGTGTACGCATGATTGCTGCGTTGCGTATCCTGCGTCTGTTTGGACCATTGGTTGAGTTATCTCCGGCTAAGTTAGCTGGCTGCTGGTTCTAGCAACATATTTATCACACAGAAAAGTGTGATATCAATCTTCTTCGTAACTCTTGGTAAGAAAGCCAATTAGTGTTTTTTTTCTTAAATATTGTACTACTACTTACTTCTACTTAAATTCCCAAATAGAGTAAGATAGTGTATAGGGGCCTTAATAATAGTATCGAAACTGGACTGTTTGTTGTCTTGAACATTAAACATTGAATTGAGGTGACACCAGTTACACCTCACTGTCCTGCCTGTGTGTTCCAGAGGAGCTGGTTTCAAAGGACAGATGCTCTTTTCATTGCTGGTTCAACCTGTGAGGTTTAAACCCCACAATCAACAGTTGGAGGTGCTGAAGGTCCAGATGATCCAGGGTTGGGTGTGCGAGGAGGGATGGTTAGTGACAGGTGTTAACACAGGGGTGTAGTTAAGAGGAGAGGCACAGGAAGGGAGGGGAGGTACTTAGTAAGAGCAGGCAAGGTGAGCTGCAGAAGGACACTGAGCATCTGTAATAAGGGCCTGGTTGAAAGCTTTCGTCTGAGCTGATGCTTAACTTTTACAGTGCACAGTACAAATGTACAGTATCGTATTGGGTCTGACAAGAACGGCTATAGATCTCCCGCCCACCCTACTCAAGTCCCCCTACAACTCCAACTATGCAAAAATGACTTTGAAACATCAAAGCTGGCATTAACGTCTCATTTCCCTATGCAAATGCAAAACAAGAGAAAAAAAAAAAAAAAAAGCTTTTAATTTCTCCCTGCCTCTTTCATTTTCAGTGAGAATCGTTGCTGCCCCCTTGAGACGAAGCCCAATGCGCAGTTTTGGGAGAAAACGGGTTAGGGGATCCTAGGGGCTGCTCTGCATTACCAAAACAAACCATTCAGCAAACAAACAATTAGACACTCATGAATTATGGACAAGCCATCTAAAATAGCAATAATAACAAGGGGTGGGGAGTCGTGAAGCGATTGCTGAGCTAATGAAACGTATGTCAGGGTGTTTTTAAACACTCAGGCAGTGGAGTAGTATGTGGGCGTATCAGTGTATGCCTTACTGTACACATGTGTACAGTATTTATATGTAAGCTATCCTGATTATTCCACACATTTCTGTGGACCAGTGCAGATGAGCGACTGAAAACAAGGTAACACTGAGAAGCTTGGGACGAAACAGAGAGTGAAGAGAGAAGGGTGCCTAGTAATCCGCAACACCTGATTGTGCATCAGCCATTTTGTTTTTCAATTTGTCCCCAGCAACATCCATTATTCACAACCCTGTGTTTACCTCTCACAGACGCGCACAGTCCATGCAGCAATGATCCAGGAGGATATACTGAACACCAGCAGAACAGTTCCTGGACAGATGGTCATGAGGGTCTTCATGACAAAGCGTGTGTTGAAGTTGATCTTGTTGAGGGCGCCGATGCTGCGAGAGGAAGCGTCCGTGAACAGCTTGCTGTGGAGCAACATGACCCTGCCTATCAGGTAGAGTCTCAGGAACATGGGGATGGAGAGGATGATGTCCACATCAGCCTCAGCCACTGACGGCGTGTAGGCAAAGGCAAGCCGCGCCGTCCAGGTGAAGACGTAATGGCCCGGGATGGGATGGATGGCACACACCAGCAGCTCCAGCACGATGAAGAAGATCCGCTCATATGTCATGGCTATCCTCCAATCGTCCGCACCATTGTCGACCATAAACAGCTGAAGAACAACAAGATCTTGTTTTAGAATTTTATAAAACTAAATCAATATCAATCAATATTTGGTCTCATGCCAACTCAAAATCCTCGTTATCATGGTAATCATCATCATCATTTTCACAACACTGATACCAAAATCTGATGATATAATGAATGAAATGATAATTTTTCTGTGGTAGACTCACCTGGATTTCCCGGGCATGGTACATTATTATAAGACCAAGCAATATAACAGTGGAAAGGCTGATAAGGCATTTCAGTGCAAATGAGTATGAAGATTCCTATGGTGAGAGAAAAAGACAGGAAAAAAGATATTAGAAAAAACAATGTTAAATCAACACAATCAACAGATTACAATATACAATCTCATCTTATATAGTAATACAACAAGATAAACTGCTCCTTGTATTTAGTACATATTACATATTTTCAGTGTCTATATTTAGCCTTAATAGATGGAAATAGTGACTTATCTCTACACAACCAAAGATTTATGAGTTGTATGTTACTGCTTAGCAACAAGGTGGAAAGAGGTCGTTGACAGAAATAGGTAGAATTCAGTACATTGTGCGTATAGATTGTACCTGTACATGTCCACATATAAACATGCATACACACAAGTGTATGCCCACAGAAGTGTGTACAGCTACACACACACACACACACACACACACACACACACACACACACACACACACACACACACACAGACAGTACTTATTAGCTTAAGAGTCTAACTGAGACCAGATAATGGGGGTTTACACACAAACGGCGCAGTCAGGATGTTGCTAAACAATGCAGCTGCAGGTGTAGGTGCAGCCTGATATTATCTATGGACGTTGTTCCCCACCATCTAAACTACCAATTAATCAAAGCCCAGCACTAACAGGGGGACTTTCCATTTAATGGTAGGTGCAGAAAAGGCAAGGCTAGCATTAACAGGGGGGCCACCACAGTGAGCGTCGCTGGTGATAAATAGGCCAGCTGGATGCTAGTGCTGCAGTGTGTGTGTGTGTGTGTGTCTGTGTGTGTGTGTGTGTGTGTGTGTGTATGTGTGTGTGTGTACATGGGGACCATAGATCTCGGAAATGAGAACCTGTACTACTCAAGTCCCCCCCTCTATGTTGGTAAAATGCCATTTGATAAATCAATTTAACAGCCATGGTGTAAAAATGCCGCTCTGCAGCAGGCTAATGATCCTAGGGTTGTTATTATAATGACAACACCAACAACGAATGACAAAAACAACCAGTGGAAATATCGTTCATAATCGTCAGTGTGATGACAGACAGAGCTGTTCAATATGACTCTGTCCTTCGGTGGTCCATATTACAGAATGTATTTTTAGCTATCAACTAGATTGCCTTGCCCCTCAGGTCGGCGACATGTTCTCAAGACATTCTAATGTCTGAAATTGTTTTGAGAAGTCCCTGGTGAAATAACATTGAGTAAACCAATTAATCCACCTGCCAGAGGTTCAAGGATTTTTCAGTCCCAGTGCTCACTGCCTGTTAACGTGTTTCCCTCCTTCAGGGCTCAGAAAACCTTGGCTGAGCCTCAAGTGTCTGCTGTGTGATGTGACGTGAGATGGAAAATGGACCATCCGCGGCACATGCTACCTGTCTGATGTGGGAGGAGGTGCTGTGCCACTCAGAGATGGGAGGTCATTTCCATTTCAGCTGAGGTCAGCTTGATGAATGGACTGAACCCCATTCAGTAACAGTCACAGACAAACCTATTGACTTTCTTAAAACCCCATAAATCATCCTATAGATCACCACACTGACTTACTATATCGTACAGACACACACTCACAGATACGTATGTGTAATCAAAAACAGATTCTAATAAATCTGACTGGAACACAACTAGGAAGAAAATCTATCCTCCATTAAAAAGGAACATACCGATGGTTTTAGCCCTTAACTTGCAATGTAATTGACGTCAATGATGATCTTTTTAATGCCATTTTAGATTTGTACCAGTGGACTTACATACAATATTTTGACAGTAGACTTTGGCAGGTGACACTAAAACTTTAGATGCCAAAGCATCTTGGAAAATTTTCAGAATAGCCCGTTCTCACAGCTACAGGGCCATGTGACAATAATGTAACTGACAACAAAATAAAGGTGTAATATTCACCTTAAAGGATTATTATATCCTTATATATAAAGATTTTTATACAATCAAAAAAGGAAGCACTGGAAGCCCCATTCCCTACAGTACTATGACGTGTGAAAAGACACTGATACTCTCTTGTTCTTTGGTGGTTTGCAAACGAAGAATTAGCATTACAACCACCCACTGATATAGTACAGAATACCTCTGCATTATCTTTTTTAGCAGTCTTAAAAGATTACTTATCACAGACAAGTTTCAAACCAATTCATTTTATGGATTTATCCATTTTTATTTTCATGTGTTCTGCTTCATACAACAGTCTGCAACAATGTTGAAGCTGCACAATAAAGGTGAAAAGTGAAAGGGGTCACTTGCAGTAATGAACCAAATCTTTCAGAAACTTTTTTGCTTGGTTCAGGCTTTCACTTCCACCAACATGGTTACTAGCCACAAACAGTAGCAGTTTAGAGTGAAAGCTCTGATAAACCTAGTGTACACTGCCTATCTAGCACAGCAGAAGCACAAAGTAACTAGTCAGTAAAAAGGCAAAGTTAGCATCTAGTCTGAAAGTCTCTTAAGAGTAAATATTGGACCTACATTCGCCACGTTGCCAGTGTCATTCCCAATGTTGGATGTGTAAATAGGCAACTAACAAGTTAACCATATCAAGTTTGTAACTCTACAATAATTTAAATGTCTGTGATGTTCCTATTGTGTGGTTTGGTCTCAAATTGATTAATATGCCTTTGATATAAATATACAAAATTTGTAGTTAACAGTCTTAAACATACAAAACCGTCTTCAGTCCTGTTCAGTTTTTACTCGCATATTGTTGTGTTGTATTGTTAAAGAGATGGTCTTATTTCCAGAGATGAAAGACACTGTGACCTACTATATACTGCAGTGCACTGCAATGTCAGCTCCCAAGTAAACAGCCCAGTAAATAGTGTGGTGGAAGCTGCTCTGAGTGAACCGAGTGAACGATATTCTCGCCAAAATACCCTAACATAGCAGGACTGATTGGCTGATACCGAAGGACAATACCAGGTCAATGGGTGGCGACCTGGTCACCATGACCCTGAAACCAAACAGCCTTGCTGTGTCCTTGCTGAAGAGTCCCACGTGTTCCTAAAGCGTGCTGTGTCGTCTCCACTCTGATCTGCTAAAAGTACAAGAAGCTGTCAGGTGGTTTAAACGTCATTCTCATCTTTTATTCCCATTGACCTTTCTCTTCATCTGTACTTGTCTTTATCTCTCTCTCTCTCTCTCTCTCTCTCTCTCTGTCTCTCTCTCTCTCTGTCTAAATCACTATATAACTGTCTCTCTCTCTTCACCCCCTCTCCTCCACTATCCCTTTCTCCATTCCTCCCTCCTGCTGTGAGGTAGTTATTTTAGATACTGGCTTCACAGGGAAGGACAGACAGCCACAATGGCAGCAGTAGTGGAACCAAATTCTTTGGCTAAACTCCCTTCTGATGCCAAAAATAAAAAAATATATATTTTAGAAAAAGTAACTAGTAACCAAAGCAGGTTTACAGTTAAGAAATTACTTAATAAAAATATCTTTTATCCAATATTTTATCCCATCCTTGGACTGTTAGTCATTGCACAGCTCACATGACACTCTTTTTATTTGTATTTGTGCAATATTCCCATCACCTTGTATGTCAGTGTCTGTGCTAATAATCACTCTTCATAAATCTGACAGCTGCCAACCCCACACAAATCAAAAATTAACAATAGCAATGACAACACACAAAGATCCCACTCATGCATCACACACATGCACACCCTACCTTAGTGTAAACCCCCCATGAAAGTTCCGTCTCTGTCACCATGACAACAATCCCAAACATCCCGAAGATGAGTGCGTAATCGCTGAGCCGCTTCCGCTTCTCAAACAACGCCCTCCGGTGGCCGAGCTTGTAGCCAATGTCCCTGTTCTTCTTCGCCGGCGCCCTGCCTCCGCTACGCCCACTGCCCTCCCTGACCAAGCTTTCATTGGACGCCTTGCTGGGGTCTTCGCCACCGTTGCCCTTGGACACCACCACCTCCAGGCCAGAGCTGTGCAGCGTCTGCAAGGGCTGCGTCTCCGAGTCGAGCTCCGCGAGGTTGCGGCGCGACGAGGACGCCAGGCTGCCCACTAGTGGTCTCACCACTCCGCCATTGTACTTGCAGGTGTTCATGGCTATCTGAGGGAGTCGGCCGCTGCTCTCGGAGAGGGAGGGCTTGGATCCAGCATGGCTCAGCTTCTTCTGCTCAGTAGTGGCCTGTGAACAGGAAGAAGTGTGATAAATACAATACTATCACAACAAAGAGGGTGTAAAAACTGACGGTAGCTTGAAGAGACACATACAGGTTTAGACTTTAAATAGAGCATTGATGTGGGAGTTACATCTCTGTGGCTCTGGAGAGGGCAAAGAGGGAAGGATCTTGCAAAACAATTTTGGTTATAAAAGCAGACAGATTTAGTGCTCAGCAGGACATGTGGCCAAACATACAGCAGGAACCAGAATATCAACAGTTCTTGTTTCTAAGTCCCAAATACCCAAGTTCTTCTTTCTTGAGCAACATGTACTGAGCGCTGCTAACAGAGACGTGGTTGTTCATTAAGAGTAGTTCAAGCCTGTGTTAGGAAGTGTTGAAAAAAGATGATAATCACAAGTTTACAGTTAAACTACAACAGCCGAAAACTCCCTTTATTTGCCAGTATGTTCTTTGTGCACCAGCTTTTCCTTCAAGAAAATTACATCAAATTTTGATGGGTCAAAAAAACAAATAAATAATGAATGGACTTTGATGTATAAATAAAACCATATAACCAATATTGGACCCTACAAAGTGCAGAAAATTGAATCTTTGCGCTGCACAAATTTAGATATGAATGATTGATGCTCAGCATGACCCTGTTTCCTATCAGAGGAACACTCTTCCCCTGCAGAGATTAGACGCGGGCTGCCTAAAAGAGAACGGAGAAGAAGAAATGCGGACCTTCTCAAATCAGGCGTACCACAGAGACCCACGATTTTAAGAGGAAAACAAGTAAAACCATTACTTTTAAAAGTCAAAGGATAACGTGTACTGTACATCGTGTCTGTTGAGTTTGAGGCCAACCTAGGGGCAAGTTCAGAAAAGAGCAATGCATGCATATCTTTGACTACAACCAGTACATTGTATATTGTGTATATAACTTCTAATTTGAACAAGACAGGAGAGAATCACCTACACAAAATGTTCCTATTTTTCTTCTCCGACCCGATACCATGCAGACTCTTCTCACATAGTCGTGTATCATTTCTGCTCTTCTTGGCAGATAGGAGTGAGTTTCTGTCCCGGTTACGCAGACAGAAAATGTTCTATCCATGCAGAGGCTGTAGAGCAGTCACCCCAGAAGCATCTATCTGCCTGTCTATCCCCTGCCCTTCAGAGACCCGGGCAGATTATCATAATGGGTTATGAAAACTTCACATGGAACAGTGCTTTTTTCGAAACAAGTCGGGGGTGTGTGATAGCACTGCTGGCCCTTTTTATTAGCCTTGACAAAGCATGCCTAATGCCTTTAAATGTGCTGGTGGGAATAAAGAAGGGCGGCCCTAATGGAAATTTACTAACTCCAGTCCTGTGATGCTATCGTCTTGCGCATATTGTGGCTCCATGAGAACAGGACTAAAGGTTAAGGATTAGTGCAGCCCATAGTGTTTCTAATCCCCTTTTCTGTATTAAATTGCTTTTTAATCTGTGCCATTAGGACCCTTCTAGACTTTTGAAGACTGTGGAGTAAGTGAACTTTGGGTTTGAATGACAGGAAATACTGTAGAGATGCTGATATGGCAATAGTGGTCAAGATGCTGTTCTTTATTTGGGGATATAAATAGAACAGGGGTTTCTGAATTTTGCAAACAAATCAAAATAACAGCAAGTTACTTAAAGATGCTGAGTGGATTAAAAGTCTCATTACTGATTTTGTCTATTCTGCAAAAAAGGTGAATTCTTGCAATTTACAACTTACTTGCAAAAAGGAGATGCAGCAAGCAAGATGAGTATACCTACATATTTAATTATTTCAGTGTTTTAATGGTTTAAAGTTTGGGTAAGTATTTTTATTCTTTACCAGTGCGTAAATAGCTTGTTTTTCCTGCATCAAGTTCTACAGTATATCAGCCTGTCAGTCCTTTGGATGCACCTACTGTACAAAATGTCATTATTCTTTTGGTTGTGAGTGTCACAACATGATGTCATTCGTTGTGGAAAGAGAGTTTCCTGCTTTTGTGTGCAAAGTAAATAACTCTGAAGTCTTGCGCTGAGCTTCGGAGTATTTTTAGTCCCCGGCAAACTTTCAGAGTGTTTCTGAGATGCTTGATATGTAAATATGGGTCCTGGACTATAATATATGAGACAGAATCCAAGACAACTACCTCAAACAAAGGTTGTGCTTGTTGTAGAAAACGCTGCTTTGTGCATTTATAGGAGTGTATTTTTACTGTTTATCTTACTATTATCTTACCACAGTATTCAAGGATTATACTGTTGACTGAGGACATTTATTACATAACATTAATTTGATAGATGCCTTGTGTCCAAAGTGACTTCCATTATTCTCTCACACACATACACACACCAGGCACAATTCAGTATCTTGCTCAAGGATCGAACAACTAATCCTATTAAAGCCAAACTGCTCAAACCAGTTTAGTTAAAGCGATTAGTTATGATTAACTCTTCACTACTGAGTGACACGGACCACACATTTTGGTACAGTTATGACTGATCTCTTCGATATGTAATAAATACAGAACTTGAGGAAAATCATTGTCAAATTCTTTTCAAAGTGTTACAGAGTATTTTATTATTCTGTTTTTATCATCAATGAATACATGTAAGAGCATATTAATGTTGTAGTTTGTCAATATGGAGCCAATTTTAGATATGTTGTACACAACTGGATATATTAGTAAAAAGTAACTATTAACAAATAAATGCAGTGGTGAAAAGTACAATATTTGCGTGTATGTATGATATTTATTTATTCATTTGTAACCCACCTGGTGGTGTCAGCATTTTAATATAAATTTACAAAGGTTATGACACATCGTAACTAACCCACACTGGTGGACCACAGCCCAATAAGTTAAGGTGGTCACAGAAAGGATGCTGCTAGTGCTTTGGGGCGCTTTGCAGTGTGTCCCTGGTGTATTAGCTGCAAAAATGCTGATGAAAGGTCTGGATATAGATTGCAGACCTACTCACTAATGAATTAGGACTTTAAAAGCAGCAAAGTAGATGACTTAGTGAAATGCATACTTAGTTAAGAGTAAAATTACAGGCTTGAGTACCAAAATAAAATGACTTAATTGCAGTAACGTGAGTCATTGTAATTTACTTCCACCCCTGCAAACCCAAAAATCATTGTTCGTTTAGGTTCGAGGTGTGAATTCATAGAGAAGAATGAACTCTGAACAAGTGTGGCTGCACAAAAAATGATTAACAGTCTTCTCCGACTCTAAGAGATGAATCCTTTCTGCTCCAGACTGGACAAACACACCACTCCCTGCGTGGGCTCTCATTGATTTTTGCTTTGGAATGTCAAACTGAACACACATCATAAATTCTCCAACCTATTTTTAAAAAAAATGTATGGGTCCCTCCCGTCATAAAGTTAGAGTGGGGCAATGGCAATAAGTATATAAACAGCAGAAAACATCATAAATCTCCTCTTAAAGGTCCAGTGTGTAACATTTAAGAGGATCTATTGACATAAATTGAATATAATACACATAACTATGTTTTCATTAGTGTATAATGATCTAAAAGTAAAAAATCTTACCTACAGACAGCATACTGAAATGCAGTGTTTCTACAGTACCCTGGAAGGCACAAACCAAACACTCACTCCAGATAGGGCAGTTTGCATTTTTTTTTGTGTTTTGTGGCCACCATAGTTTCTCCTTTGCAATGGAAAGGGGAGGGTGAAGCGAGGGAGTTGCAATCTGCAACTACACTCTAGATGCCACTAGATCTCACACACTGGGCCTTTAAAACATAAACATTTCCATATATTTACAGAAATGCTGAAAAAATAGAGCCAAAATGTACCCCTAATTTGGTCTCTGATGACCAATTACATGACGATTAATTGATTGTTGTGACAGATGTGGGACCACAGAAGAGCCTAAGATGTAAAAGGAAACCGTCTCAGGAAGTGTAAATGACGTAACAGGATTGATGATGGACACCAAGAGAGCAGGGTTGCTGTTACATCCTCAGCTTTAGTTACCTGTTTCTGGTGATCATCAGTCACTGAACCAGGTCAGGACTGACCCAAATATGGGCAATCGTCCCATCAGTCAGTGTGTATGAACATTGGCATTTCTGTATTTCTACACATCAGAGGAAGATTTGAGAGAGAAAATCTGTACAGGAATATTGAGGAAGTAAGATACAACAAAATACCAACACGTATGCCTGACTTTTGTAAAACTAAAGAGTCCTTCACAGACATTGCAGCAGGACTCCTCACATCACATTCCAAAACCTCAAAGCACTCAATCAATCCATACTCTCGCCCACTTAGCGAGCTACCCAAGATCTGTCGCTTTTTGCATTTCCCTTGCAACCCGACTAAACAGTGCACCGAAAGGGCACGGCAGGCAAGCGTTGCCCTTGTCGTCCCCTGATGCCCCTGCAGAGGAGACACGGGGAGGCTGTCTGTCCAGCAGACCAACGGCTCAATTTCATTCTGAATGGCACGCAGCATCCAGGCTCTATGAAATGGAGCCTCATAATCAAATTGAAAAGCCTCAGTGCAGAACAGTTTAAATGAAGGCAACTCTCTGCCTTGCTCTTCTCTCTGTCTCTCTCTCTCTCTCTCTCTCTCTCTCTCTCTCTCTCTCTCTCTCTCTCTCTCTCTTTCCAGCCAGCTCAAATCTAATAGAAAATTCTCATTCTTTAGTGGTGTACGGGGGCTACTGTGCTGCAGTGTTGAAGGTTTATACACCTAAAAATGGAATTGTGCATTATAAAATCTAGTGTGTTCAACTCTGTTTGTGTGTGCGTGTTTATTAGTTAGCATGTGGGTGCCAGTCTGTTTAATTATGTGTGTGTGTGTGTGTGTGTATGTGGTTGGGTGGGTGGATGTGTGCATATGTGTGCTAGTTGAACAAGCTGAGCCTCAGCCAGGCACCGGATTAGGTCGGATATTGACGCAGACAGTGTGCAACGACGAAACAAGCACGAGGAGGAATTGTTTGAGAAGATCCACGTGTATGTGAAT